AGACAGGCCACCACAGCAGGACAGTGATGGCATAATACTGTTCCCTCCCCCAAATTCACGTCCTATCCACATGAAAAATACATTCATCCCATTCCAGCACCCTCAAAAATCTTATCCTATCAACTCTAAGTCTAAAATCTCATCTTCTAAATGATCTAAATAAGATATGGGTGACATTCTGTGTATGTTCTCTCAGACAAAATCCCTCTGTGTTTATGAACCTGTGAAATCTAAGATATATGATAACATATGTTATCTGCTTCAAGGTACAATGGTGAAACAAGTATAGGATTGATCTTCCCACATTCCTAAAGGGAAAAATTGGAGGGGAAAAGGGCAAGCAAGTCTGAAACCCAGAAGGGAAAATTCCACTAGATTTCATGGTCTTGGGATAATCCTCAGTGACTGGATGCTCTGTCCCCACCAGTAGGCCCATCTTCAGTGCCCACCTAAGTGGGTGGCATCATTATCATGGCCAATCAGGATTATGACCCACCCTAGGAATTGAGGAGGTGGCCCTGTCCTCTAGGACCAAGGAGGCAGTGTCTTTGTCCTCTGGGTCACTTCTCCTTTTTCTTGAAGGATAATAGATATCCATAGCCAAGATATCCATAGCCAAGAAGCTCCATCAGTTTATCTTCAGCCCGTGGAATCCCAGCAGTCCAGCAGCCTTACTTCATTTCACCCTGTCTCTGGCCCTTTCAGTTAAGCTGGCAGTATTTCTGCTGACATGGTTAATGATTCCATAAGTCACTACCTAATATCTTTAGCAAAGTGTTGTCTAGCTCACTGTTAATGTTGTCTCCAGAGCACACTTCCTCAAATTTTACAATGTGAATAGGCTCACATTTCCAAATTTTCAAGTTCTATTTCTTTATGCAGGAGCTCTGGTACTTGGGACTTGACTGCCAAAGGGACTTGACTGCTAACCAGAAGGCTGGCAGTTCAAACCCACCAGACACTCCTCGCAAGGAAGCTTGGGCAATCTACTTCCATAGTGATACTGCCTCGGAAACCCAAGGAAGGGTTGTTATGAGTCGGATCTGACTCAATGGCACATAACAACAGCAACAACATTTCTTTATGCACAGTTCATTCCTCAGTTTATGTCTTTCTTCTTTCATTTACTAAGCAAGGAAGAGAAATCAGACTGTACTTTCCACATTTTGTTTAGAGATATTCTCAGATAAATATCAAGTTTATCACCTACAAGTTCTGCTTTCCACAAATCACTCTAAGATAATTCAGGCAAGTTCTTTATCACTTTCTAACAAGAATTTCTTTTATCTAGAGTCCAATAATGTATTTGTCATTCACATTTCTAACAAAATTCTGTTCATGCATATATGTATAATCTAAGATGATAGAAATTTTCTCTGTAACTCTCCTTCTTTCTTATCTTTCACTGGACTTCCTTTTAATGCCCATAATTATACTAATAATCTCTTTGAAGTAATCTAGGCTTTTGCTGTGTAGCACCTCAAAACTCTTTCAGCCTCTACCCAATTCCAAAGCCACTCCACATTTTTGGGTATATGTTACATCAGCACCCTACTTTCCTGTACCAAAAAGTATATTAGTTTCCCTGCCCGCCATAACAAGTTACCATAAATTGTTGTTGTTGTTATGTGCCGTCAAGTCGGCCCCGACTCATAGCGACCCCTCCTTGGGTTTCCGAGGCAGTATCACTACGGAAGTAGGATTGCCCAACCTTCCTTCCGAGGAGTGGCTGGTGGGTTTGAACCGCCAGCCTTCTGGTTAGCAATCAAGTGCTTTAGCCACTATGCTACCAGAGCTCCTAAAATTAGGTGACCTATGAAGCAAAAATTTATTATACCCCAGATCTGGAGACTGTTAGTTCAAATTTGGGATGTTAGGAGGGTCCTATTATCTCCAGAAGCTCTGGTGGCATAGTGCCTAAGGCATTTGACTGTTAACCAGAAGTCTGACAGTTCAAACCCACCAGCCACTCCTTGGAAGGAAGGTTGGGCAATCTACTTTCATAATGACATCACCTCAGAAACCCAAGGAGGGGTTGCTATGAGTTGGATCCAACTCCACAGCAGTGAGTTTGGTTTGGTTTTGTGGTATTATCTCCAAGACTCTTGGAGAATATCCTTTTCTGTCTCTCCCAGCTTCTGGTAGCCTCAGACATTCTTATCTTGCAGCTAAAAAATAGCCTCCTTGTCACATGACCACCTTCCCTCTGCCTCCCTGTGTCTCTTCTCTTTTATAGGGGATCACTCAGATTGCATTAGGATCCACACTATTCTGATATGACCTCATGTTAACTTCATTGCTAACATCTGTAAAGACCTTATTTCCAATCAAGATCACATTCACAAATACCAGGAGTTAGGACTTCAATATAAATTCAATATAAATTTTTGAGGGACACAATTCAGTCTATAACAGATGTCAGTGTATACTTAATTCTTATAGGTATAGATTATAATTTTAAGGCATGCTATGGCCATATTTTAATGAGACATTTACTTCATAGCTTAATATTTATTTCTTAGCAAGGCTATCTTATTCATATTGGTGAAGTAGAAAATGACATGAAGATGTAAAATGAATTTTGAAATTATATTTACATCTTTATTACATTTTTTTTTTTTAAGTTTTAGCTCATTTGATCTTCTCTGCTCCCAAGCACAGTCCTACCAGTTTAATTTCCTTCTCACAATGCTTTTCTTGCATTTTCCTTTGCCGCCTCCCTGGCTTCTTTCTTCCTTTTCTTTTACTAAAATAGCATTCCAAATGTCGTCAGGTGATGAGTAGATTTGCTTTATTGTCAAAGCTGTCTAGCTATTATTTCAGACATCTTGCAAGTTAGCCAATGAGGATTGAACACTATACATTTCCTACCTTTTTGCATCCTGAGGCTGCTTAAGAGGTGAAACAGTGAGGAAGACTGCTCAGGCACTTAACCAAAATTGCTTCCTAGTTGACACAAGGTTAGCATCTGGTCTCTTTCTAATGCTATACAAATTCCACTGACTAGTGTCTATTAAAGCACCATAGTCTAGATATGGCTGGTCTAGGATATTGTTTCAGACATAAACATAACTTCAATTTGCAAAGGCAGAGTTTACATGCCAGAGTTACCAAAATGAGTCAATAATATTTTTATTCTATAATAAAAGAATGATCAAGTTTATTTACCAAAAAACAAACAAAAAAAAAATTAATGATCACTATTAGTTTGGACGGGAGCTCTGGTAGTGTAGTGTCTACTGCTAACCAGAAGGCTGGTGGTTCAAACCCACCAGCCACTCCTCGGAAGGAAGTTTGGGCAATCTACTTCCATAGTGATACTACCTCAGAAACCCAAAGAGGGGTCTCTATGAGTCGGATCCTACTAGACGGCACGTAACAACAACAACACAGCATTAGTTTGGAGACTTCTAATAAGTGACATTCTTACGTATTTTGGACTGAGGCTTTGAATAAACCTACAAGGTGGCAATGTCAACTATGTAAGCTAGCTTCCCAAAAGGTACCTCGATTTTGTAATTTCATATCATTTTGCTGTCTCATCTCACTTACTTTTCATGTTAGTTTTTTCTATCATTTGCTTATCTTAATTAAAAAATACTCAATATCATTAAGTACTTCATCTTTCAGTTAGATGATTTTTCATGTAATTATGGGAGAAATAATAGAAAACTTTTGTATGATTATCACAAATGATATGGAGAGTTGCAAACAATTTGTAGTTAATTAGGAGTTTAGTGGGAGATTTAATTAATTTCTGTATTGGCTACATAGAAGATTGACTCTAACAATACCTATAAAACTAAAATATTACTAATATTTTAGAAAGAGGAACAAAATGTTTGTATATACCACACAGACTCAGACATAGGAAAACACATGCACACATACACACACACACATTTCACATCTAAAATATCAAATTTTAGTATATCAAAATTGTCCTAGGACTGACAGATTTTACTTTGCTAAAGTAGGTATTTTTAAAAAAGCTTTTAATCATATCAATTACATCACAACTTACACTGTAAATATTCATAATATTACATATTAGAACTGTCTGACATGGTCTGAGTGTTTGTTGGTTTTCTATACTTATGTTTCAGCCGTGCCACTTGTTTTTGTTTTGTTGTGTTGTGTTTAAGTCAGGGCTTTGAATCAGTTTGAACTGGTTCAATCATGGCTGAACAAGCAAAACTGGGATCGACCAGAATTTGTAAAATATGGGTGCCTGAAACACTAACTGGACCAAGAAAAATTATGACCTGAAGCCCTGGAATGGGAGACTCAGAAGAGGCCCTTTCATGAGCCTGATGTGGGAGACTGCATTATTGCCAGGACTATGGAGAGCAACACACATTCAAAGTTGTGGGGTTGGCTGCCATCTTTGAGCAGGGCACCACTGTTTGCTGCTCTGCCTGGCAAGAGGTTTGGTTGGTATGCAGCATGCATGCTGCCCTTGTTCTCTAAAGGGAAAATTAAGTTTCTAGCAGGCCATCAACTTGTAGTTTTTCCCATTCCAGTTATCAGTTATAGTTCTAGGCACCCATATTTTGCAAATTTTGATCTGTCCTGGTTTCACTTCATGGCCATGACTGAACTGGGAAGAGCCAGTTTGAAACCCTAGTTTTAAAAAAAGAAAGCAAAAAACACTGTCATATGTCATAAGATAATTAAAGGACTAGTTTTATTTGCAAAATCCAGTCATCAATTTTGCCACTGCCTGTTCCAACTCCAGCTTAATGGTCAAGACTAAATAATTATAATAATGGAGCTGTGGGGTGAATGATGGATTTGTAGCAACTATAGCTGTAACTTCTAACTAGTTTTCATTTTTCATCTTACAATTTCCATTTCCTCCCTCTATTGAAATAAGTTCAGTTGAAATGAATGGATACTCCTGCACATGTTGATGGTCCTGTGAGCTCTTCTGAGAATTGCATTGGTCTGTTAATGATACTGTTAATAATTTTTTCATGTTTTTTTCTCTTCTTTTTTAGTCTCGACCTATTCCTTCCCACCTTACTTCAGCAGTTGCAGAGAGTATCTTGGCTTCAGCCTGTGAGAGCGAGAGTAGAAATGCTGCCAAGAGGATGCGTCTGGACAGACAACAGGTACTAAGGAAACTTAGAGTCTGATGTACACTAGCTGACACAGAATTATTACAGTTAATTCAATTTATGGAGAAGAGGAAAAACTCTTAAGTGGATTCTAAGAACACTTGGATGTAATCTTTGTGTCTTTATTACATAATTTAAATTTGAAAATTGCATGGTACTGTGATCAAGAAGATCAATAAAAAAAGGACAAAATGGAAATTGTAAAATTAATGTTATAATTATGTTTCATATACAATTTGAAGGCTGATTACTTATTTAAATAAGAGGTTCTAATTGATCATTTTTAAGAGTTTTGTAAATTTACCTAATCATTAATGATAAGAACCTGACCATTAAAACTGATGTTGAATGAAATTGAACCCCTCTTTAATTTCTTCTGGTCTACTGCCAAATGCTCATGGATTATGTTGGTAATGTGAAAGTACAACACATATTTGAAAATCTCAAAAGCCTTAAAAAATGTACATGTAGCATTATGAAATTCCATGTCCTGGGCAAGCATTCTTTTTTACTAATGAATCATTTATTGTATACCCATTATATATTATTTTTCTTAAAGGTTTCTGCCTGGTGTGGATGTGTTTTTTTTTTTTTTTTTGCTCATTGGTATTTCATTCATTTGTTCTTTGGTGTTTCATTTTCTTTTTCACTTGCTTTTTCTGTCTCCCCTCTCAAATCTTGAATGTCTTTTTCTGTTTTCTCTTTATCTCCATCCCTCTTTCTTAATTCTCCATAAGGAAGAACTTAATTATAATACATATTATGTAAAAAAATATGTTGTGTTGTCTCCTGATATTTAAATTATTTTTACAACACATGAATTAGATGCTTCACATTTCTAACTGAAGTTGGGATGAGTGGATAATAATTGATTTAATCCAATTTTGTTTTTCCTGAGAGGCAGTACTCTTCTAAGGGGGGAAAAAAAAAAAGAAAGTTATTTTCTTTGTTGTTATGTTGTTACTTGCTGTTGAGTTGATTCTGACTCTGGTGACCCCATGAACGTAGATCATACAATGTAGAACTGTGCTCCACAGGGTTTTCAAAGCTGTGACCTTTCAAAGCAGATCACCCGGCTTGTCTTCTGAAGCACCTATGGGAAGTCTCAAACTGCTAATTTTTCAGCTAGTAGTTGAGCACTTAATCCTTCATACCAACCAACCACCTTTTTTCCAGTCCAGGCTTATAATATTTCAAAATGTTTTAGATTGGCATCAGCTTTTAATTTTATGTGTCCATTATGTTAATGCTAATAATTCTAAACGATGAAGATGAAACTCTTAGTTAAATAAAAATGCAGCATTAGCCTTAGATAAAAAGAATATCAAAATGTCCACTTTAAATTTGCTAATCGTTCTTTGCCACCAGTATTTATTCACATATATATGTCCTTAGTTGAGACTTGTATCATTAGCCTAGCTATAAAATTTAGTTGAATTACACCACAGCATACAATACCATCTACTACAGTGGTTAAGATTGTACATTCTGGAGGTAAGCAGACCTGCTTTTGATTCTCCGTTCTAACCTTACTTAGTTATGTGATCTTCAACAACCATTGCGGCCTTCTATGCTTCCATTTCTTCATACACAAGATAAGAAGAATAACAGTACTAATTCTATAGTGTTGTTATGAGAATTAAAAGACAGATTCATGTTATGAACTTAGTATTTTACCTAGCTTAAATTTAGCTGAGAAAAGAAGACATTGACTGATGTCTTAGCTTTTTGATCACTGAATTGGCATCAGTAAAACTAGAAAGAATCAGTAATAGTGCTTATTGGACATAGGAGTTTTGGAATAAGACTAAGTTCATTGGAGGAAAAAAAACAAACAAACATAATTCTAGAAATTAGGATAGGAGAATTCTAAGAGATAGAAAGGGCTATGCTGGTGGTCTTTTAGCCATATATATCACCTAGTCTACTCTAGAATGTTTAGAGTGTTATTCATAACTGATTCATGGTATGTTACAATATTACTCTGTACAATATCTTTCAAAGCTGGTCAGGCCCTGTTATATTTGGTCCAATGGCTTAATCGTTATCAGCCGAGTCTGTTAAATACAGGATGCAAATATAAAATTTATAGAGTTATTGTGAAGATTTAATGAGGTAATGCAAATGAAAGCATAATGTATTTCGTATGTTTATATATTTTTAAAGATATATTGAATTGACTATCTTAAGTGATAGGAAAAATCCCCATGTCTAGTGACAGATATCCACAGTTAGAGTTGTACAGTTAGAGCTGTGATGGTTTTGAGATATTTTAAACTGAGCCCAGATTTTCTTCCTTCAATTTCCCATTGAAGGAAAACTATCCAAAATGGGAAGGATTTCTTATGACTGTCCTTCCTACTGCCACCAGGGTGGGAATGGGGAACCAATGATTCTTGACCCTACATCCAGTATTAACTGCTTCCTTTTTTCTTTGTGCCTCATAAATAGTGGTCATACATGGCAATGGTCTGTCATCTGGTGATGGGGGTGCTATTATCACACCCACATATGAATGTCTTTCTAGGTACTAAAGCAGTTTAGAAGGCTCGGGATTTATACAGGATAAGGAAAAAAATGAAAAGGAGCCATGGTGGCACAATGGTTAAGCAGTTGGCTGCTAACCAGAAAGTCATGGTTCTAAGCCAGCAGCCACTCTGTGGGAGAAATGCCATGGTGACATGCTCCTGTAAAGATTACACCCCATAGGTGGTTCTACTCTGCCCTACAGAGTCACTAGGAGTTGGAATAGACTCAATGACACCTAACAAGGACAAAGCAATAGCAGTACACTGCCTGAGTGACTGGAAGCTTATTAGGCTACTTTACAAAGGTTGTTGTTGTTGTTGTTGTTGTTGTTTTTCACTTATTATGCCCAGCAAACCAATAAAGGTAGGTATTACTATTCCCATTTACATATGAGAAAATTGAGGCTTCTGGAAACTGGGGTTGCCTGGTAAATGAGCAAGTCAGGACAAGAGCCTATATGGTGTGAGGCTGACACTTGAGATCTTTCCCCTTCTGTGCCTTTTCAGTGATTATGTTTCCAGAGGAAATATCCATGTTTTGTAACAAACTCTTACAACTCATATCATCTCTGCCTCTGCTCACAAGATTTCGACTAGTATTTCTGATAGTCCCATGTTTTGCTGGAAAATTTCCTCCTTTATTCACAGAGAATTTGCACTGTACCTTAACTACCAATCCAAGTTCCCCAGTAGGCAAGCTCTTCCAGGTACCAGATCTTTTTCTGGATGTTAGTCTGATAAAGCTTACAGACTTCCCAAAGTTCTTTACTTCGTCTGGGGACCTGAGTATACACTAGGAACTCTGGTTTCATGTTTATAATGAAATATTTCAGAACTATCTAAGCTCCTTCTTTTTATTATGAATGCTATAATTTGGAGTACCACACAAAGGCTATTACTTCCCAGCAAAGAATGGAGTGCTGTGGGAGGAAACCTTCCTTAATTGGATCTAAATGTCTTTTGTCCAAGTAGACACAGCAATTGTGTTTTGCTTTGGCAATGATGTCATCCTTTTCCACATGTATTCTTATCCCTGCTCACAATTCTTAGAATTTGCCAATGTCAGAGTGTCTTCATTGTTCCCCCAACTTTTTGTGGGTGCATAATTGTTCACCACCTGGACAGTTGAAAATTGGGTCCTGTTAAGCCACACATCTGACTGCTTGCTGCCAGAGCCTAGCTACATGTAGAGCTGTAATTAGGTATGCCCTTCGGAGTATATATAGCTTTATGAATTAATTGGATTTTATAAAGCTCTTTGAGATAGCAACATGAAAGGTGTTGTGGATGTGTTAAACCCTTTATTTCATGTGTCCACGCTGCACCACTATCCTAGGGAGGCTTCCTGTTAAGCAGCCTCAGCCCCAAGCATGCCAGTGGCGAGGACACACGCCCAGTGCTGCATCAAGAGCCACATTTCACAGAAATGAGGTCAATCTCTGATGAATTAGAAAGTATATTCAGCATTCTTTTTCTTTTAACTTGAAAATCTGGAATTGTTACATGATCTAGGAAATTCTTCCTCACTTTGAAAAATTCAAAAAACGGACAAAGTCAGGCCTTGCTTTTGTAATTTGATGATAAACCTCAAAGTATTATTTTTTTCTTTATCTTTATTATTTGAATATCATTTTCTTTTTTATCTCCTTAAATACAGAGAAATCTCATTGTTCTTGATTGCAGTTCATTTAAAGAAAGAGACGGAGGCAGAAAGTGTGAGAGTTTAGAACCAGCTAGTGCCCAAAGCATTTGGCTGCTAACCAGAAGGTTGGCTGTTCAAACCCACCAGCTGCTCCATGGAAGAAAGATGGGGCAATCTACTTCCGTAAATATTTACCGCCTTGGAAACCCAATGGAGGTTGCTATGAGTCAGAATTGACTCTATGGCAGTGAGTTTGTTTTTTGGTTTTTTTTTTTGTTTAGTTGCTGTTGCTGGTGGTTTATTTCCTATTGGTGTGCGTTTTTGGCTGTTTTAGAAGGATGATAGACATTTTGTTTCTAGACCTGCTGACTGATTAAGAGAAAGTTTCAGAATAATGTGATAGTTCTTTTTTTTTTCTCTCTCACCTCAGTTGTTTCAGTTAAATTAGTTTGTAGCTCCATAGAACAGTTTACATCAAACCAAAGGTCGAGGGCTTCCCCAATGGCAGCACAGCAGCCTCTGCCATCATGGAGGACAAATCAGCTTGAGTGTTGGGTGGGTGTCGGTGATAACTAGCACTAACGGGAGATCAGTGGTAGGCTGTCATGTATCACCTTTGACTTTATTGAAAAGAGCATCGTTGCCAGGTGGAAGGGATGACGGGTAGTTATCTATGACACAATTCAAGGTGAAAACCTAACCAAACTCACTGCCATTGAGTCAGTTCCAACTCATAGCGACCCCTCCTTTGGTTTCCAAGGCAGTATCTCTATGGAAGTAGATTGTCCCATCTTCCTTCTGAGGAGTGGCTGGTGGGTTTGAAC